GGTGGGGGCGGCGGGCTGCAGGGCAACCCGCTAAACGGGCAGGCGGCCCGTGTTAGCGGAGTGCCTTGTGCGTGGGTGCCGTGAGGACGAGGAGGACTAGGCTCCTCCCAGACTCCCTCCTGGACGCGCCCCTGGCCTCACTAGAACTTTTGACTGCAAAAACAGTTCGAGTGTGAATGACGTCTTTCTTGCGTTCGAGAAATAATAAGACCACTACTGCTTTCGACACAATCCGACACACTCAGAAAAATGATTGGTAGTACAACTATCGTGTCCGACAGGGATAATTCTGGGACAAGATCAACATTAACGAAGAACTTACGCTCAGGCCACGCTTAGCGTGTCCAATGCTTGCGTTAGCGTAAAGTGGCAGGGCAGCAAGGGAGGATGAGTGAACTGGAGAGAGCCACGCTGTGCTGAGCGTGGCATGAGCGGAAGTTCTTAGTTACACATAGCTCAGCAGTATTCACACGGTTAGTTGGTAGAACCAACAAAGCAAATGTAGTACTGTCTGACAGAGGAAATTGTCTCAAACGTGATTTTGCGGTACTATCTCTGAGCTAGCTAATGGATCCACCCAGAAAGTACGTCCACCAACCGCCGTTATGAAACTGCTGAGTTCAGCCTCCGCATGCTCCCCTAGCGCCTGGCAGGTAGGCAACATCGTGCCTTCCGCGCATGCGTGTCGTGCGGGGTGGCCTACCCCGAGTCTCGCAGGCGCCCAGCTCTCGTAATGTGCCGAATGAACCTGAGGAGAGCAGACTACTTCCTGGGCGATATCTTTACCCAGGACAGAGCTCTTTGTTTTCACGGGTACAGAAACGCATTATACGACGTCGTACTGGTGGATGAGGAGGATACGGAAGCTCGCTGGACACTCAATGTTCAAGCGCCGGGGCCTCGGACCGGGTTTGGGGATTCACCACTGACAAACACGTCTGACCAAAAATAATAATTCAGCCAAAAGCTTCTTGAAGCGTCTCTGGCGGTGACCGCCTGCTGGTAATTGTTGACTTTCGCGCCAAAAACCAGGGAGCAGGAACGTTTCGGCAGAAACGAACGCACTTACTTGTATGGGTATTTGCGTTCGGCAGTGCAAAGAATAACAGGATGGCGATCGCTGTCCCATCGCAAACCCCTACTCCGCAGAACGTCTTCACTGCACGTGTAGGCTCGATGCGTCGCTGCTTGTTGCTGCTGACTCGTCGGGTAAAGATGGGGTGGCGGTGCGGGGAGGTGTTGGGAGTGGCGGGGAGAGGAGAGGCGGGGTGGGGCGGAGCGGGGCGAGGTGGGGCGGGCAGGGCGATCCTCTCGAGCCTTGGGTTACATTAGGCAGCGGGGGTGCGGCGCGGACGCGGTGCGGTGGGGGTGCACCTAAGGCAGGACAGCACCGTCTCGACGACGCCGCGTCGCAGTCCGCCCGGCCGCCCCCTCTGGGCCCGCCTCGAAACAAAAGCGCACACAAACCACTCTGGCAAACAGCCTCAAGGGTAAGGAGAGTGCCGCCCGCCGCGCTACGCCACGCCAGGCGGCGCCGCGCCACGCCACGCATCGGCGCGCCATTTATGACGGGTGATCCGCGGGTTATGGCACGCAACGCGAGCGCTGCGGGGCGGTAGGGCGGCGGCGGCCCCGGCCGAGGCTCCAGCCCTATTTGCATCTGGAACTGCAGCGGAGGTGTGACCCACAAAGCGCCCCGCCCCGAGTGCCGCCCTGTGTGGGTGCGCGAGGTGCCAGGGACTCGAGGGAGCCGCGTCGCATCCGCCGGCCCCCGCCGCCGCCTTGCTTGGGTTTTGGGATGACGTCTTGTTGCGTCCAGAATCTCCTGCTCTGCCCGGGTCCCTCCATATATGTGCCAGCCTCGAGCCATGCCATGGGTTAGGAAAAATGACACCCGAGCGACGCCGCCAGCACCGCTCTTTGGGCGAGTCGCGATAACGAGAAGAACAATCACTGCTGCTCTTGGCGCTCTTGACACACCGGACACACGCGGAGGGCGGAGGGGAGGGCGCAGAGGAGGACGAACGGGAGGGGGAGGGTTCCCCGATATCCGCATGGAAAGGCTTTGCTTTGGCAACTTTGTACACTTTTCAGAAGGTCCTTAGGGTGGCTCGCGAGTATTGCACGGTAAATAGAACGTCTTAGTTTCCGTGACAGCTTGTAAAAACCGAGAAGTTCCCGTGCATTTCTTACATATCATGCAATAAAAAAATTAAAATTCAGTTCCGTGCAAAGTTGCACAATTTTACACCCGTGCAAAAAAGATAGCTGGATGTAAAACTATGTAGCTGTACAGCTAAGTCATTAGCTACACGGTTAATTAACAGCACGGCTTACTGGATGGCTAAAACCTGATGCTAAATAAATTAGCGGAGTCTATTCAGTAAATTTTTAGCCCCGGTGCAAAAACCTTAGCAGTGCCACGATTTTATTTTTTTCTGCGTGTAAGACGTCTTTGTTTTCCAAACTGTCATGCAGGGGGTAGTTTTTACCGTGCGACGGACTGTTGGTCGATAGTTTCATGTTCCTAGGGTCGAAAAGAAAAAGAGCCAATTTTTAGACTTCAGGGCAAAGGGTGATTTAGGAAGCCAGCTGACAGTTGTGACTGCCAGCCATTCAGCGCTGGGATAGGGCTCCGAGCCCAGCATGGCCCAGCAGTAGGGTGGGCCCCGGCGTGGCGGGGCCGGGCCGGGCCAGGAGCAGCGTGGCGGGGCGCGAGGGACGTGGGGATCAGGCCCAGGTAGGGGTAAGGAGTCGCGGCGGGGCGCGGCGGGGCGCGGCGGGGTGGGGCAGGGGTTGGCGGGGGGCGTCGCGTCGTCTCCGTCGGTGAGTTGGTTAGTACACGTTCATAAGGTACCGCAGGTGGGCCCGGCGGCTTAATGCCCCTTGCGCCGGCCAGCTCCGCACAGCGCGCAGACCGCCCCGAGGACCCCGCCGAGGACCCCGCCGAGCACGCCGTGACAGCCCGGTCGGGTGCCGCGACCCGCGCGACGTCGCGTATAGTGCGTGAGTGACGACGCCCCAAGTGAGACAGTGCGCGGCGAGCAACATGCATCCCGGCGGCAGCACCCTGGGCCTGCGCGGCCTGCTGGCTGCCCTGCTGGCCACCATGTGCCTGGCTGCTGCGGACGCCGCCTACGTCCTGGAGACCCGTAAGCACTATACAGCTAAACACGTGGGCCAAGCCAATTCAAGTGGTTCCGTGCCTAAAACAGGAGAAGGGGTTTTGCCAAATTTATTTATTATAAAGCTGGAGCTTAAAGCTGAGGAACAATGAAAGAGATTGTGACACTTTAAATCCGTGCTTTAGTAGAAGTAGGAGGAAGGAACAAAAACGGAAGTTAGAAATGGTAACCACGTGTTTACGAGAAATTGCCATGACGGTTTGGAGAACTTAGTCTTCCGACAACTACGCCGCGAAAATCCAAAATGCAAGGACCTTTATCACACTACTCTTTAATTCAGACTCCCGCTTACGTTTTTGTTCTGGTCCTTCCGCTACAGCAGACACTAGGGGAGACAAATGGGCCACCACCGCCTCTCTGACCGGCCGGTCCAGGCCACATGGGTCGGTCGGTCGGCAGTCCGGGGGTGGAGGGTGGAGTTGGGCTCCGGTTGCTGGGGCACACTTTTGGCGTGGCTTGTAAATCTTATTGTCAAGACAAACTTGTCATGACATCTCTAGCGGCTCGCTCGGCCTCTACGCGTGGATGAGGGTGAGTAGACACTTGTTTAATACTTAAAAATTGTTGTAAAGAAAATAATAACTTCCTCTTCAAATCCGTTCCAAATCCGTCGACTAGCACGAGCACGGGTGTGTGGGATCGCAACGCATGTACATGTAGGCCGTCCGGGTGGCCTGGCCTGCGACACTGGGCGCTTGCTGACAAGGGGAACAGCTCACGGTGAGCTGCGCCCGGTAGAGCGTGGCTCCTCCTGTGTCCAGGCCCAGCCCAAGCCCCGATACAAGCTCGTTACAGCGAGAGGATAACGAGTCTTTTGTCAGCCCTTGACCTTTCGCTGCCGGCCGGCGGTACCCTTTGGGCTGGGTGAGGGCCGACGGCCGACCTTGGACACGTGGGAGGAGAAAGTGAGAAAGGTCCACTCCTCGCGGGGCGTGCATATGAAAGAGACGAAAAGTGTCAGTTTGCAGCGGCGTCTCTCCAGCTCCATTCCAGTCCCGCTCCAGACTCGCTCCAGCCGCCGCCACCGCCGCGACAAGCCAAGGTCGCTCGGCCGCCGAGTGTAGCGGCCCCGCGCCCCCACCTCGCCCCGCCCCGCCCTGCCCCGCCGTTGTCCTGTCACACGTCGTGCCCGCCGCGGTGCGGCGGGGCGTGGCACAAAGGCACGGAGAGGGGGAAGGGGTGTGTTGCAGTCAGTTTGCCTACACAGCGACCGATTGGCCACACCGGCGCCCCATCCCCGTCAGTGACGCCACGCTACGACACGTCCGAAGTGACGATCTCCGTGTAGGTACAGCGACCAGCCCCGCCTCGCCCCACCCCGCCTCGCGGCTTGTGCAACGTACTGCGCGGCGTGCTGGGCCGCCAGGCCGCCTTGGGCCCCCGGGCCCGGGGCGCGGTGGGGCGGAGTGGGGCAAGGAGGGGCCACAGTTGTACTGCCGTTCGTTTTTCTGCAAGGATCTCGTTGCACGCTATTGCAGAAGGTCTAGCCGTCCGTGCACGTCGTGCTGGCCTGGCAAGGGGTTGGCAGGACG